ACATTCATTTCAAGTATCATCATGAATAATTGTACGTTGTCATATGTACGTTGTATACGAACTTATGTACATACGTACGTATATTCGTTTATAGACAGAAATCAACCACCAAGCCATCATTTATGCACTTTCTATTACTGCTGCTAGTACTGTAGTTATACAACTAGTTGTTGTTGTTGTTGTTATAATGATAATAATTGAAGAAACTGTTTATTAATGTCCTTGTTTACAATCAATGATACTTAGGCTGTATAAACATTTCGGTTATGAAGACTGCGTGTGTGTGTGTGTGTGTGTCTGTGCGCGTTTATATGTTCTTATTTATATTTCTGCAGAGATTATTTGCGCAATATATATATGCACAGGCCATAAATTATTCTATTCATGTTTGAAGACAACAAAAGATAGAGACAAAGTGCATGCATATGAGTGTGCGTTTGTATGTATGTTAGTTTGTAAGTGAAATAAGTCTATTAAATGTATTCTCTAACCTTTATAATTTCCTCTATCTCTTTCTTCTTCTTCTCTCTTTCTCTCTCTCTCTCTCTCTCTCTTTGTATCTATCTATCTATCTATCTATCTATCTATCTATCTATCTATCTGTCTATCTTTGTCTGTCTCTCTCCATCTCTCACAGCCATACTACCGGTGCTTTTCTTTTGCTCATGCATGCATCGACATGCATATTTTGTGTCCTTAATGCGTGTCAGAGTGTGAATTCTATTCATGACTTATATTTATGTCGTTTTAATGTCTGAGAAATCCTTTATAAAATATGTGTGGGTGGATGAATGAATGAATGGATGGATGGATGGGGGAATGGATGTTATGTGCTTGCTGTTATTACGTTCCTCTATTCTTTTTTTCTCTCTCTCACAATCATTGGCACTATTGTATTGCTTAGTAGATATATTTTCATATACGATACGTGCACACTGTCCTATAAACTCAGTTTAAAATATTTTAGAGAAAACAAGAAGAAGACATTTTTCGGGCACTTATTTATATATGTTCAAATATATCTTAAACTCTTAAAGCACTTTATTTTTACACTTTTTTATGTACATTCTTATCTATATACATATGTATGTATGTATGTATATATGTATGTATATTAATATGTATATATATGTTTAACCGTTCGTTCTTCAATACTCTTCTAGCTTACGTTCATTTATTTTATTTAAAACTTCTTGGCTTTATCATGAGCAGCATGCGTGCATATATGTGCACAAAATTTTAAATTGCTATTTTCATATACACGTGCGTACGATTGTGCGTGCTTGCCTGTGTATTAAAAGTTGATATATAGAAAAAAATAAGCTTTAAAATACCAAAAATTGCTATATCAGATTTGTTAAGTATCTATAATATATAATAATAAGGCGTCATACCGATTCCATAAGGCTAGTGATATATATTCTTAAGGAGATCGGAATAGCGGAATCAATTTCATAATATTAGTGTATCCATCCCTTAATAGACAAGAACAACACGATATTTAATTGCCATTTGCATGAGAGTTTTTTCAAAATATAAAATTAAACTCACATCCACCCATGTGACGGAAATGGAATGGGTTTCATCGATTGAACAAATCCATGGACTAGAATGTCTTGCATAATAAAGTTGATTTTTCATAAGTCGGTTCGTATAAAATCTATAATAAAACTTAAATATTCAGAATAAAGTCAGAGCAAAATTTCATTGAAAGCCAAATGTAAATATCTTTATCTTCTTCTTCTTCTTCTTCTTCTTCTTCTTCTATATACCTATACACGGGTAACTCTAAATCGAGAAATAATGGGTCCCCTAGCTTATAGGGACTGTCTCGCTTAAGGGGGTTGCACCGATCGCCTGCACTAGCGAATATCGCGGGGATAAGGCACGAGGCCGGTACTCACGTTAAGCTATTCTCACATCGACTGTACGCGAGGGGGAACAGGAGCCACATCAACGGATATTAACGATTGTATACAAAGTTTAATTATATTTAAAGCGCAAAATTGGAAAACTTTTACTTCGTGAACTTGCACTGAGATATGTGATGTGTAAGTGATTTAATGATTTGCTGTTAAATTTTTTTTCGAACATTTCAATCTCAAGGATGTTTACTCCTTCGTCAGTCATTGCAATGCTTTAAGTTGGACGTAATTAAGTAATTTAGGACATATTGTGCTTAGAGGGAATTTTCTGTTCATTTTGTTTTACAATTTAATTAAAATCATATTTAGGATAGATAGGATAGGATAACTTCGAAGGTAGAACATAACCTCAATGTTGATAAATAAACTTTTGTTTATCCCATTTTTAGCTACAACAGAGAGAGACAACGTTTCGTTTCCTTTATTAGACCTTTGCCAATAGTAAAAAAAAAAACTTAATATTTTTCAATCGTTCCGAGGAATGCACCCTATACGCTGCAATGCGACAATGATTGGAAAAAATTGATGAAAGATAAAATCGGTTGGGACAGTAATCCAATCGGTGAATGTTACACCTCTATCGGCAAAGTGTTCACTACAACTACGAATCAAGGATTGCGGCCAAATCGCGCCGAGCTTTGATGCCCCGCATACTGATTTGGTAGTCGCGACTCTTGTTTACCCCGCTTTTATATGATAATTTTTGATATTTTATGAAAAAATGAAAAATGGGAGAATCGTATTCGCCGAAATGGATGAAGGGTATTATCTAATTTGGGGGTCATAACTTTTTTCGGGATATATTGATTTTCATTCGAATGCAACGAACACGCTGTCATTCATTACATAATAGTAACAAAGTTGCATTGAAATTTTACAGAACCTTTCCCAATCTAGAAGCCTCTACTAGTGTAGTGGGATTTAGAGGTCACCTAATTGTAATTAACGCCATATAAGAGAGTTGAAGTAATCTGTTGCCTAATAAGACAAAGTGTACTGCCAATGGGTACTGAATATGTAGAAGATAGGGATCAAAGACAGACAGGAATAACTCAGATCCTTTCATGAAAATTGAAGGAAAATACTCATTGTAGACTAACTGTTATGATTTTGTATTCCACATTGCATCGCAGTATCGTAGTAAACTTGCATGAATGTAACATATTTGTGCAACTTCTCATTAGCAACTAACTATGGAACGAGTTTCCAATATTCACTAAAAATAAACAAAACAAACTGAACATGAAATGAAAATGTTCTCAACTATGTGCAATTAAAAAACTTCTACTGAATAAATTCAAATGTTTAGCTCTTACACACTACGTACACACGTACCAGTTGAAGGTATTTTAAATTTATCAATTAATTTATACATATACATACATTCGATATACTATTGGTGAGAATAGTATGGCTGCTCGATTCGGATGTAGGTTGAGAGTTCTCGATATCGACTTAACTTGAACGTTAATAATTTTCAATTTTTAATCGTATTATTTGCTTCATTATATGATATATATATATACGTAACGACGATATCATATACATTTCCTTGTACATGCGAAACCAAAATTTAACTCAATACGAAAGGTAGTTGGATGCGTTTAAATCAAAAAAAAAAAAAAATAAAAAAAAAATACGGTCGCATTCATTTTTACGTTTGTTGTCACATCAACTACATTGTTAATGAGAACCGTAACTCAGCCGTTGTTTATTGTCTCTTGTAAGATTATATGCTCTGACGACATACGGATTTTTCTTCGTTGAATTTATGAATTAAGTTAAAAAAATGGGTGTAATCTGTCTCTAAAAATGGCACAAATCTAAAGAAAATCAAGTACAAATATTATACTGTGACCGTTATATGGGAAGTTGTCGAAAAAGTGACCCGATGCGGAATCGTCCTTGTGTCAAAAGATGTCGTTGTATTTAGATTTGCATCAAAATATCTCAAAAATGAATATAAGAATAGAAGACGGATAGACGGTCACATCGATAAAATGCGAGACAAGCTTATATCGGCCAGTGAGATAATTGATTATTATTTTCATTTTTTAGATAGGCAGATACATATATATATATATATATATATGACAACAATAGAGAGGAATTAGGCAACGCAATGATGAAACTTGGAAATGACTTAATGTCGGATGAGCGAAGAGCGAGTCGCCTCTATTCCGCATACACACATACAAATTGAACGGATTGTTTTACATATAAAAATGACTGAACTTACCAGAACCAGAGAATCTAGACCGCGTCTGTATCTCTGCATGATATATATATATATATATATATATATATAAAAAATTTCAATTTGATTGATTTTGTTAAATTGAAATATTTATTAATTTTGTATTTTTAATAATAATATTAAGAGATATATCAAGTTTGCTTTTTATCTTGTTAAAGATTCAATAAATTTACAATTAGTTTTAATAAGAGATGTATTAATTCTTTAAAAAGCATTTTTTTTATTTTTATTATTATCATTATTATATATATATATATATTTATATATATCTATATATATATATATATATATATATATTTATTTATTTTTGATTATTTTTTCTTTCGGTATCATGTTATTATTATTATGTAAGATTTCATGATGATTAAAATTGAAATTGAAGATATTTTTAAATTTGATTTTTTTATATATATATTTTTGTAATGTAATTTTTGTTTTTAATTATTTGAAATGTAGCCGATGAGTGTTCCTTTAAAGGTGACACAAAGACGAAGAAGATTCATTTAAATTTTTATAAGATTTCTTTTGATTTCTACTTTGATAGTTTAAAAGTATGTTTTGAATGAATTGATATGTTTGTTATATATATGTATTATTTCATTTTTATTTATTCGCTTCTCTTTTTTTTTGCATTTCGAAAATTAAAATTGAAAACACTTTAATCATTTAAAAATTTGTATTTTTGTTTTTTTTGTTTTTAAGTATTTTTTTCATTAAGAAAATTGAATAAATATTAAACTATTTTATCAATTTTTAAAATTTCGAATTTAAAAAGTCTGCTATTTTTCAATGTTGTTCTTCAATTTTTTTTTTTTGTGTTTTTTTTTTCATTTTTCAGTTTTCGCCAAGGATTTCTTTACCTTATGTTATTAATTTCGAGTTTTTTTTTTATATTGAGAATTAATTAAGTATTTAATCATATGTAAGGGAAACATTTGATTTTGGTGTCGGCAACGGCGATGTAGTGTTCTCCTCCTCTTCGTCGTTATCCTGTGAATCTTCCGGTTCACCCAGAGCGTGTACAAACTCATAGAAGTCAATACGACCGTCACCGTCAACGTCGACTTCTTTAATCATATCTTCAACTAAAAATAGTTAAAAAATAAAATATAAACCATTAAAAAAAATAATTGATAAGTAAAACAAGTAAGAACATTATAGTCGGGCATGGCCGACCACTAAATACCCTACCCCATTTCGTTTAAGACTTGGTATTTGTGCAATGACTTTTCAAAATAAAACGTTAGTTATATGGGAATTAATCAAAAAAGTGGTCAGATCTAGATCATTTTTGATTGGCAAAAGAGATCGGTGTTAAATGTTTCATCAAAATCGCCCAGAAAGCGATTGTGAATCGATAGCTATCAGAACAGATGAATTTATCTCAAGCCTGTTGCAATGTTGTGTACACCCATCTGCGCATATGTAACATACTCTACGACTAACATAAATGACGTCCGGCATAAAAATCAAAATGCCACAAAGAATATCTATAGTAGTATTTTCTTGATAGAATTTAATCTCAAAACCGATTTTTGAATTTTCATTTACCACCGCATTTATCGTTTATATCAAATCACGACTAATTGATGTGCCCGTGCTTTGCATATTATTATCCATTTCCCCAAGTTATTACAATAACAATTTCATAATTCGCTAACAAGAAATGGCACTGCAATGAGCATACTACGATCAGTAAGCTGCTAATGATCGTATGCGTTGTATGGATATCACCAAAAATTTAAATATAATTTGAGTATTGCTGAGTATTGACTATTCCCGAAAAGTATATCTTTTCTTACTTACTATCTTCTTCATCCAGATCTTCGCCTAGACATTGCAGTACTGCTCTTAAATCGGATGCGGTTATATAGCCGCGATTGTGTTTATCAAATACTCGAAAAGCATCACGTAGCTCGCGTTCTTCTTGATCGGCCACTGATAGGCCGGATTTATCTTCATAGGCCATATTCGATAAGATATCAACAAATTCCTCGAAGCTAACATTACCGTCGCCTGTGAAGAAAATTTGCAAATAAAAATATTTCCGATTAAATATTATCGTAATTGCATTAAAGGCAAATATTTTCGCATCGCATTCTAAATACAAAAAAAAAAAAAATTTCTCAATTGGATTGTAGAACAATGTTACTTACCATCAACATCGATTTCTTGCAACATTTCTTGCAACTCTTCGACACGAGCGAACTGACCCAATGAACGCATGACAGTGCCCAACTCCTCTTTCGTAATACAGCCGTCACCATCCTTATCGAATAAGCGGAAAGCTTCACGAAATTCTATACAAACGAAAATATCACATACAAAGGCATGGGGAAAATACTTAAGCACTTGTCGAAGCGTCTCATATTATCATAGAACAAAAGACGAAATTAAAAAAACCGAAAATCAAAATCTAAATAATTTCCCTTATACGACATATGTAAGTGTGCTTAGTTCCTTAAAGATTTGCATAGTATTTTATAGGCGCGCCATACACCCTACTTCGTTTCAATGCATTGTAAGCTAAGCATCGTATCGTCCTTGGGCGTGACATCTATTAGAAATCTTGCAATTCGTCTCAATACTAAATCGATTGTTGTTGCTGATAATCGATTACGCGAATTTCAAGTTTCATAAGCGATGGGCGTAGTTAATTAATAATTTCGAATCTACCAATAGTAGTCTCTTCACTTCTTGCAGTTTGCTCTTGAGTTAACTGCGCAAATTTCATGAATTTCTGGCGCCATGTACAAGACACTTATAGCTCATAAGGTTTTTTTTTTTTTCATGGCTGAATGCGAATTTTCGCGAGTATTGTTCCCTGATTGAGGGGTAGTGTTCAAAAAGGTTAAACAGAGCTGAAAGGAAAATGATACCATGCCGCCATGATGCGATATGGCGATGACTCCTGAAAAGGGGGCAAGAACTTTATTGGCGAGATTTTACGAAAATATATGCAACGCGAACATGCAACGCGAACATGCAACGCGAAAATGCAAACGCGAGGAAGAAAGGATAGAAGGAAGATACAGATAAAGTATGTAGTGAAATTTCGGTTACCTCTCATTTGACCTTTGGATATGATGCGACCAGTAGAACCCTCTTGAGATTCACTGGAAATTGTGCGTTGCTTGGAAAATTGTCGTGTGCGTGCCTTATGTTTACCACCCATCGATCTGCTAGAAATAAAACTAAACTTCTTCTTTTTACGACCTCCACTGACATCGTCATCATCCTCTTCATCGATATCTTCGTCATAATCCTCTAATTCAGGCATCAAATCGTCCTCATCGCTATCTACGGCATATCTTATTTCCACATCATTGTCTTCATTGTCTTCGTCGCCGTTATCACTGGCGTCATAGACAATTTCCTCTGAACAATCCCGAACATAAGTTACCCGGGTATTGGGTATCGGTTTATTGTGATAGTATTGCTGATGCTGTTTAGTTGATTTTGTTGTACTCTCATAACTATTAGCCGACTTTCGTTGATAATTCCGTTGTCTATGTGTGCTTTGATCATCTTTTATGATCATTACTTCGTTACCTTTACTTCTTCGCGATAATCTAGTCTGTTTCGTAGTTGACATCACAGTCTTTTGCCGTTCTAAAACTGAGACCGGCAATTCTACGTCATCCCTGGAAGCAGCAACGGCAGTGTTCTCTTGCATATCTGTGCATTTTGTATGATTCTGTTCTTCCTCGTATTCCTCACGAGCCGATAATTGATTAATATTGTCGCCAAGTTCAGCAATCTCGTCATCACCCGTAACCGAAGTATTTCTGGTCTAAAGCAAATTATGCAATATGCATAAGCAACATGAAAACCAAAAACAAAACAAATGCTTCTAAATTGAGTCTGTGCATAGCTCTATAGCGAAGCGGGGAGAACCTTGCGTGTTATGAGAATGGTGACGTATTCGGAGCAGATACAACAAAACAGATATATATGTAGTGTACGTCAGGGGCGAAATAGATAGGAGAAAGACGTTAGCGAAATCGTATCGCAAGTGATCGCCAAAATGTGATTTCTCGGATTTTGGTTTCATTCTGATCACTTCGTCGAGATTTTCATCGACTGTTGCCAAGTACAGAGTTCAAAGATAAACTTAAAATTTGCGTAATCATTAAGGCATAATTAGAAGGACAAACATGCTTGACGCCCGAATACTGCACAAAATGAGTCGTATGAGGATTTAGTGAAACGCTGCTGCTCCAGCGCCATGTCAACAAACCATTTTGAATGCTGAGAGTTGCTAGAGCTCCAAAATTAATTGCTTACAACGATATCTATCGGAAAATGTCATAGCCAGCGAACGCAGAGCCGCTCCTACTCATCTCTTATAGATGGTGTTCTTTATCTAATCGGATCGTTTAATCGTTTAATCAAATCCATCAGAAATGATTGCAATTTTGAAACAAAAAGGAAATTTCGATGCACCAGACCTAAGGAGTCTCTCTCTTCATCCTATCATAAGTCCCAGATGCTTGCGCAGCGTTTGAAAAAATAAAGTCCTCTCCTTTTTTAGATATTCTTAAGAATCGCTTTAATAACTTTTTTCCGACACTTTCTCAGTATTTTTGATAAACAAATAAACTGAACGGAACGAAATGAAATAAATTGAAAATCGATTTTTCTCTTAACAATATCGATTTCGGGATTCGCTATAGATATATGCATAGATGCGATATTTCTTACCATTAGTTGCCTCAATTCCCGGGCAATGGATGAACCAGCAAAAAAATTATTCACTGCCGAGAATAACCGTTTTCCTTCCAACTTGACGGTATTTTTATAAATACAATCTAGATCTGACAAACTTGATTATATATATATATATATATATATATACAATTAGAGGGATTGAATGAGTTGAAGCTGTGTTCGTGTTCGTAATTTCAAATCCCTATGTTATTCCTTTTTTGTTTTAGTTTAGAAATTGTCATTCTTTTCGTCGTTGACTGTTGCTGTTGTTGTTATTGCTATTGTTAATATTACACTCTTCTTGCATCGCTTACTGCCGCTTGATGGACCGACTGACTGACTGGTGCTGGCCTGATTGACACTGATTTTATTTATATCTATGGCACACTAACCGTAAATCCGTTTACTTATTTCCTCTTTCTCAGATTAAAGTTACGCTCCCCTTAACATTTATTTGTATGGCTTATCAATGAGTATGTGCGTGTATACATTAGAGGCGAGATATCAACTTTAATTTTGAAATATTTCGTTACCTATACCCATGAGAAGGAGAAAAGAGAAATTATTGTTTTCGTTATTAAGTGTTGGTGCGAGCGAAAATAACATTGGAAGAAAGTCCTTCTCTAACCATTACCGAAGGATGAGGACTCGATCAAAACGTTTGCAGTGCCCACCATATACATATATATATATATATGTTTGATCAGCATCAAATACTGAATCGATTTAAGCATGTTCATTTGTCCGTCCGTCCGTCCAATTTCAAACACTCTCTCTCACAATGAAAATTCTGGCGTGAAGATGGACGTATGGAAAACGGGTGAACTTGGTTGAAAAACACTTTTACAGTGCCGCGTAAACTAAGAACAACTCCATCTCTTAAAGGGAAAAAGCATTGGTTTTTCGTTTGCTGCTTACAAACTACAGCACGTTTAGCAAGTGTACAAAAGGAGAAAAGATCCGTCACAGCCTCTGCTTCATTTTCGGTGTGGCGCAATATAATTTTTGTGTGAAAACCGTTATAACGCCTAGAACCAAGCTTCAAGAACCCCGCAAAGTATACACATTCTTAACTAGTGTCAAATTTTCCGTCCATATGTCTATCTGTCCGGCTACTAAACTATGTAGTATCCAAGGTAAGCATTTTCTCGTCCGCATAAATAAACATGACTCCAAACCGAACGAAAGACACGCCTAAAATGCACCAAAAAGTAAGTTTTTTTTTCCCTCGTTGGTCATGCACTACACTAGATCCACGATAAAAATGTCCACTTTTATTTTACAAAAAAAGACCCACACAATAATAAAGAGTATGGAAATTCAGTTCTTTTCCTTTTTTTCTTAATCCTTTTTAAGACAATTGCGACTAATATAAGAAATTCGTTTATGACCGAATATAATTTTCTTACTCGTTTTTAGTTTTCTTTGCACGCAAGGAACAAGATAATATTAGGAAAATCACACAAAAATGTGCAACACATTGATGGTCAGAAAAAGATAGGAAGATGATGGTCGTATGCGATCGATAGCTACGATCAGATATGTCCAAACCGTATTTGAGATTCCAACCCGCAATCACTGGCTTGGTAATCATGAGCCTTATTCGCTCGGTGTCATATAATAAAGACCCCTCTTCCCAATTCTTGGGAAATTGACAAAGGGTAAATAAATCAACAGAAATCTAATATGACAGAGATCTGATATGAATGGGTTATTTTCAAAGAGGTACATATGTAAGCTTAAGCCAACCAGAGGAACCTCAGCCTCAACCTCAACCCGTACATATTAGATTAAACAGGTAGAAATCAAATAAGTGAGAAAATTAAATTCAGTCCGGGCCGAATCTTTTATATTCATCATCGTTTACCCCAAAAAAGGTCAAAAGAAATAAAAAACCAATATTCTCATACCCCATAATATGGAGTGCGCACATTTGATTTGTGCTATTTTCAAAATAAAAGCTTTTATCGTAGAAGCATGTGGGCAGTGTGGGCGTGTTCGTTAAAAAGTTCAAGTCAATTCCAAATTCTTTTACAAATTTGTAGGCGATACCTTTATTTTCGTTAACGGGAGAATGTTAACCGCAAATACTACAAAGGCAGACGAACAGGCGGACACGTATAGGTGCATTCAAGATTTGCAACTGGCCAAGAATTTGTACACTTTATGGGATTTTTGAAGCTTGTTTCTGCGAGTTATTAAGATTTGAAAAGATAATTAAACTTTGATACATTATCACATTGGTTAGGCGTGGTCAATTTTTCCAATTTTTTTGCGCAAATGCTAGAGGGACCGCCCATAGAATATGTTTTCAAATTTTTGTACATTTTTTTTATTTGCTATAGTTTATGGGTAATGAGCAACAAACCAATATTTCATTCCCTTTGAAAAACATAAGTGTTCTCCGTTTATGTGATGTTATGGGCATGTCCTTCGACGAATTTGGTCCCCAAGAACTTCCAATGTCTCTGCCGAATTTGAAGTCGATAGATTCATTTTTGCGGCCAGGGGAATGTTTACAACAGACTTTATACAGACGGATGGACAGTCAGACAGACAGATGAATATGCTTTAATCGATTTAGAATTTGATGCTGATCAAGAATATATACACTTTTTGGGCGGTCTCAGATGCTGCCTTCTGGACGTTGTAAACGTTTTGACAAAATGAATATATTTCTCATCCTTCGATGATGGGTATAAAAACGTCAGATTTTGCGAAACAAAATCGAACATTTCGAAGTCAAATGTAGACCTTGTATTTTCTGAAAACTGAATTGAGATAATTGATTATTATTTTCATTTTTTAGATAGGTAGATATTATTATTATTATTATTATTATTATTAATTTCGCCAGAGAAATAAATTCTAAGACTAAACTCTTAAAAGCACTAACATCTAAGGGTATCGGCTTTTATTAAAAACTCTACCGCACTTGAGATTCGAATCCACGACCATTGACTTGCTAGTCAAGATTCCTCGCCTTCGACTACTCAAGCGGATTAGATAGGTAGATAGATACATGACAATAGAGAGAAATTAGACAACGCAATGATGAAACTTGAAAAAAATAGCTCAATGTCGGATGTTTGACACGAAACGCCGCATTTCAGAAAGCAAAGCGAAGAGCGATTCGCCTCCTTTCCGCATGAACTGCAGAAGAAAATAGAATAGATCTCCGGAATTATATTTCTTATACACTGTAAGCCAATGTACCTCGAATAACTTACAATGTGGATGTGGAATAAATAATTTACCTTTGCGTTTCGCTTTCCGATGCGCTTATTGCGCACAGTCGAGACTGTGAAATTGTTGAATTATCATTGAAATTTAGGTTAAATTAAGAGCGTGTTGCCACACTCTCCGATTTTCTACATTCTTAGGCATTTTAGCTGGTGTTTTGGTGATGAAAAGTGTTGCCAGCCATATTTCAAACATTATTGCGTCGCATGCAATTTTGTGAAAAATGTGAACCGTTTGATGTCATGAAAGAAACGCGTTTCGAGCGAGGAGGATTTGACCTTTAGCCTAGGAAAAAAATTGCCTACTTGTTTATATTGAAGGTTTTTGGTCAAAGTTTATCATGCATGATGCAAACGGTGGTGATCGCCATAAAAATATTTTTTATTTCGATAATTACCAGTAATCTCGTTACAGATCTATCACTGACATTAATGCCATTCATTACTCAAATTTAATTTTTTTTTTTTTTCGACAATTTTCAAAATACATATAAAATGAATTATCACACATATTAAATCAAAGAATAATTAAATTATTATGATAATTAAAAAATATACAACTATATACTGCCGAGAGATGCCTCTAACTCTATTCCTTTTTGTGCAACAAACATTCACACAGCTTAAGAGCAATGTTTTTTGTCCGCTTTTGCTAAAAGCTCATCAGCTAAGCCAACTACTGACCGCAACCACAATTGCGTTTTCTAAAACATTATGAAAAATTTTCACAAAAACAACAATTATTTTAAGCAATAGTTTCGTCACCTATCTGTCGGTTAACCACACATAGAAAATGTTATGTGTGTTTTCCAATTACTCTGAACTCTACCATGGCTGACTATGAATATGCAATTCGGATATGTGTGTTAGCATTATTCTGAAAATAAGCGTAAATCCAGTATACCGGCTTATAACATGTTAGACTAGTTCCCTCTTCTACATTAAATGTATACATGGATGCCTGATTTGCCAAATCGATTAACTCCATAAAGCAAAAAGTTGAGAAAAATGATAAAATGTTATATGTTGTTTTTTAAAATTCTTTTCGAAAAATAAAAGTTTTTCATTTATTGGTGTTAACACTTATTATTAGAGAAATTCATTTTGAATATGTACAGTTAGGAGCTAGTGAAGTACTTTGATATTAAAATTTGGAAAAATTCCAAAAATGCAGTTAATCGATTTGGCAAGTGAAGCGGCCATATATCCATGCTTTATGAATCGCATATATTATACAAATACACGCAACTTACTTGTTATATACAAAGTAACTTTATTTAACAATTTTTCTTATAACATTACATGACAACTATTTTTATGATCGGCTATGTAACAATTATTCTTCTTTCTCGCAACAGTGGGCAAAAGAGCGAGAAATGTATATATAACAATTTATCAGTACATATCTTCTGTCGCATTCGTTTACTGTCTTATATGAACACAATAACAATTTTTTCACCATCCCATACTAATCCCTACTATATGAATGCATGTTATCGGAGGGTGCATTGTACTTTGATATTCTAACTTGTTCAATAAATATGGGGAATTTTTATTTTAATCATGCACGTGCTTCGTGATTATCGATGTAATCCTTGTAAATTTTTTTTTCATTGGATTGAGACAAGAGTCATTAATAGCCGACAGACGCTTAATGTTATTCTGTTTTTTTTTGATTTTGTAAGTGTGCCTTGTAAGTATTGAAAGTTATTTTCAGTTGTTTTTCAAAATGAAAAAAAATTTATCACATCATCAAAGATTTACGAATAGGCGCAAAGACTTAAGATATTAAAAACGCACCATGCCAGGGAGAGTGAAAATATCGATAAACTCACGAATCTTTTACTTAATAGTCGTTGACTAAATACTAGACAGCTTTGTAGAGATACAGTGCGAATATAATTTGAAACGATCCGATTAATTTTTAAAAGAATGTTCATCATGTTCATCGTATTCACATGTTTGTAGAGACGCGTTTGTTTACATGAGCGATAGGGATCTCGAATTGCTAATTATTCATGATAGACGTGAATTTATGGGTAGAAACAAGAAATAGCTCAACGGTAGATTCTCCAATTATCTTATTCTTGTTCACAACGAATTCCTTCCAAAAGAGGCCAAGAGTTCACGAGGAATATTATTTAGGTCATTAGCGTTTTTTACGTAAATGTAACGGAAAACAATTTTATTTTTATTTTTATACTAATATCCACCGATCCACCCAATATCGTATCCATTTGGAATAATTCCGGGAATCTATTTTCTCTTCTATTAGATTCGTCGTTCTAATC